AGGAGTTCCGCGCGATAACGGGTAGGAGTTCCGTGCGATAACCAGTAGGAGTTTCGTACGATAACGGGTAGGAGTTCCACGCGATAACGGGTAGGAGTTCCGCGCGATAACGGGTAGGAGTTCCGTGCGATAACGGGTAGGAGTTCCACGCGATAATGTGTAGGAGTTCCGTGCAATGACGGGTAGGAGTTCCGCGCGATAACGAGTAGGAGTTCCGCACGATAACGAGTAGAGTCGCTAAGAGTCATCGAGTTAACAGACGGAGTCGGGTTTTGCAGGAGATGTACACGAACATGAGCGTGACGTCTGAACGCACTGTGATCATCGATCGCGGCCTAGCCCTGCACAAGATGCTCCGCCTCATCACACACTCACTCGGAGGAGAAGCCTATCTTAACTTCATAGGTGAGAGCGAAGCGTGAGCAGGACCACCGCCCTCCCTCCGAGGGTCGGGTCGTCATGCGATGAAGGTTATCGCGAAGGTCGTATTATTACGGGATTCGCTGTAGTTATCGCTGACATGGTGTGAAGGGTAGGTCTGAGTGAGGAAGCGATTCCTATATACCTGTTAACTGAATCCATAGTACTGGCTACTACGGACGTAGACTGACTTAAAGGGATACATGACCCCTAGGTTCCTTACATATTTTCAGTTAAAATAGGTTTAAATTACAACAATTAAACTAGATGAAAAATTTGTACATCAATTTTTTATTTACATTTACATGTAAAAGTTTGTAGGTATATGCTATTATTTACGCACTTACTGTCATAATATTCCCTAAAATTCTAGAGTGCAGTATCCCTATAATGTTGACGCAGCTGACACGGCTCGTAACTCAACGTTTACGTCGAATTAGTCGAACCCTCGCATTACATTTCACGCAACGATGCTACTAGTCTCGTTGTGTCCGTGCCGCAGGCAATGAGTTTGGACATCCGGAGTGGCTGGATTTCCCACGCGCGGGCAACAACTCTAGCTACCACTACGCACGCAGGCAGTTCCACCTGCCAGCAGACAACAATCTACGCTACAAGTCGCTCAACAGATTCGATCGAGACATGAACCTGACAGAGGAGAAATACCGCTGGCTCATCTTCAAGCACGTAAGCTGTCAGCGTATACACACGTGTTGGGTGGTGGTGGTGGCGGCGGTGGTGGTGGTGACGGTGTGAGGGTGAGGGTGGTGGCGGTGGCGGTGGCGGCGGCGGTGGGTGCAGGTGTGTGTGCAGCGTGCACACGGGCTCAGAGCCTCAGTGTGAGAGGCAGGGTGCAGCATGGTACCGGGACTTCAGAACTACAGCAGCAGCAGCAGCAGTGTTGGTGTAATCTCTCTCCTCGTCTGTTCCCGCAGCAATACATCAGCTGTCACCATGAGGGTGACAAGGTGATTGTCTATGACAAGCAATCCAAGCACGGGGCGCTGGTGTTTGTCTTCAACTTCCACCCGACGGAGAGCTACGCCGACTACCGCATCGGCGTGGAGCAGCCTGGGAAGTATCCTACGCAAAAAATAACACCCGATCGAAAGCCCTCTCCGCATTCCCTCCCCTTCCTCTCCGCATTCCCTTCCCTTCCTCTCCGCATTCCCTTCCCTTCCTCTCCGCATTCCTTCCCCTTCCTCTCCGTATTCCCTCCCCTTTCCTCTCCTTTTCCCTCCCCTCCCCTCCCCTCCCATCCCTCCCTCCTTTCGTCCCTCCCTCCCAGTCTGACCAACTGAATCATCGTGTGACTGACTAACGACCGTCTATTCGCCTTTCCTTCCGCCCCTTCCTCTCCTCCCTCTTCTCCCTCCCCCTCCTCTCCCTCCTCTCCCTCGTCTCCCTCCTCTCTCTCCCCTTCCTCCTCTCCCTCTCCCTCTTCTCTCTCCTCTCCCTCCCCTCCTTTCTCTCCCTTATCTCCCTTCCTTCCCTCCTCTCCCTCCCCTCTCTACTAGTCTGAACGATCAACCAACCACCCTCTCTGTTTTCCCCCTCCCCACCCCATATTCCACCCTTTCTTTCCTTAACTCCCTCCCTCCCTTGTGGTCGCACCACGCGACCGACCGACTGAACAACACCCGTTCATGTGTCTGTGCGGCAAGGGATCGCGACGTCGGATGTTCTCTTGTTTGGCCTTGACGCTCGTCGCGCAGGTATAAGATCGTGCTGGACACGGACGCGAGAGAGTACGAAGGTCATGGCCGACTCGACCACAGCGTCGACTTCTTCACCTACCCGGAGAACTGGAGCGGTCGCATGCACAGCATGAAGGCAAGTCACACGCAGTTACGTGCGTCTGCTTAAGCATAATAACGCACACATATAACATAATATAACGCACACAACCGAGCAAAACACCGGAACGTGGAGCAAAACGTGTTTTGTTCGATGTTCGTGGCTGTGTGCGGATTCCCGAAACAAAAAACAGTGCTCAGCTGTATGCTGTGTCGGGTGGCGTGTGTGCGCTTGCTCGCCGAGCAGAACGCGAAACGCTGGCAAACAAAATTTCCCGTTTTGCTCGGGTGTGTGCGCTAGGCTTTAGCGGGGCCGGGTGTTGTAGAAACAACGTGTGAGCGAGACAACCACGCGCACCTGTCGATATCGTCGCTTGGCTTGTCAAGCTAGCACTGTCTCTACGTGGTTTCCATGCGTACTCGCCAGCATCTGAGAATGCTCGGCCATGTGTCTTTATACATCTACATCTATATATTACTATATATATATATATATATATATATATATATGGTTACGTCGATCTGTCACTCTAGACAAGTACTCGATGGTATACGTAGATAATAAGAAATCATTTTGTACCTGGCATTCTCACAGCAGTTGTTCGGCAATGTCGTTACGCGATAACGGGAAATGTTAGAATGTTCTAGGCTCTTGCAGATGGTTGTTATCATCTAATAAATATTAGTAGTGCAATTGTTTCTACTCCTTACTCCTATATATGTAGGTGATTCATGTAAGTACTAAACCGTAAAGTAACGAAATAAGTATATTTAATGCTGCAATATTCTTCGTTACGATTTCAAGCTCTACCTCAGTTTTATAATCAACGTCTAGTGTGGACAATCAGCATTTGCACAACGAGCTAAGATGTGCTAAGCAGATTATTGTATTATGGAAATCTTGTGAGAAAAATCGATGAACTCGCTGTCTACTATTGCAGGTGTACATTCCCAGCCGGGTTGGCATCGTGCTGGCAAAGTGTGACTGATTTCTGCGAACGTCTGGCCATTGGAAGAACGAATATACGTCGTAGTAGACCTTTCCTTTGAGAGTGGGTTACCTACTAGTTGAAAACCTTAGGTATTTCACGCGAAACTTATATGTGACATTAAACATGATCTAGGTTTCTTTAGGCTCAAAAAACCTCACTGCTCACGCTGTTTGCTTCATCACCTGATATCTGGAACCAATCAGATTGGCTCTACATACTTTTCTACTTGGCCATATATCGTCAAGTACAGTGTGGTTAGGCAAAGCTCAGAGGGAATGGTCCAGTCTAACTTGGGAATCCCATGCTGTTCTATTCATGTGGACCAGCACCTTATTTACATTTAGATGCATTCCATAGATTTTGGCAAAACCTGCTTTTAATGAAGTTGTAAACTGGACGGTTCGAACGTTTAGCATTAGCATTAGCATTAGCATTGTTAGCTTGTGTGTTACTTTTTAGTTTTTGTAGTCTTATTTATGTTTGCTGGAGGTTATTAAGATTGTAACTTGTTATGAGCTGTGCTAGCTTAACTCGGTGGTCGTATGCTAGCGCAGTATAGTTTGTAGTCGGGTTATTATAAAATGATTACGTGCCTGTAGGTGTTAACATGATAATTGTTGATGCTGCATAGTAGTCGGTGTTATATAGAACCTTTACATTAATCCCCCTATGCAGTCTCCCAAGAAGATGTTTGTTATGAACATGTAATGGCACCCAATGGTTTCCCAATGCTGAAATGTCATTACGGGAATATTACATAACCTTATCGGTCGAACAACCTTTATGTCTTTATATGGCTGCATAACTTGCACATCTCTCTAGGGGTTTGCTCTAGGGATACGGTAAAAACCCGCGTATATGAACCTGTTAGGCTAAGATTTTCCATTTACACCCCCTTGACATAAGAACCTGTTTTAGCCTAAAATTTGAAACAGGTTCTTATTTGATAAAATTCAGTTAACACTTTAAAATTCATAAATCAACTAAAACAAGCTATTTGTGGTCTATATACCTCTATTAGGTATAAAGGGCATAAAAAGAAATAAGATAACCTAGAATAGTGTTTGTAATTGTCTAGATTGCAGTGATTTAGACATAATTATATGCATATTTTGTATAAACAATGGACCGCACCAATATTCTACCAGCAACAAGCACATTGTTTCTTAAGAAAATAAGAATCTGTTTAAGAACCTAAATAGCCTAATTTCCCAGTAAACACCAATTATATAAGAACCTTTTTAGACTAACTTGGAAAAATACAGGTTCTTATATACGCGGGTTTTAACTGTATTATAGATAAGCACGTTGAAAGTTCACTAAAGGTGCATAGGGTTGCTTTAGGTTGCATTTGCGTGCTGCTATGGTTGATGCCGTATGCTACGGCTATAGTTGATAGGTGTTTGTGTAGTGGGTCTGATACGATGTGTTAGTAGGGTTACTATTTAGTGCACCCCTCATTCAGTTGCTATCAGAGGAAGCTGTTGTAGATAGATCAAGCCTGCAGATTGCAGTAGAAAATGTTCCAATTTTACAAGCAACTAATGAAGGACAACGCGAATTTTAATATGGAAGGACAGAAACGAAGAAGCATTAAACTTCTTCAAGGGATCCTTGGGACGAGACGACACGTGTCGAAATTTACACAGTGTTAGTGAATCAGCTGTGGCCGGCAAATTTCCTGGTTTGCTAACGGGAGGAAACTGTAGATATCAATTGCAATGCCTCCACGCAAATGGTGCTACGGCTTGTCATAATTCATCCATGAAGGTTTTACATGTTATGTATTTTTACGCTATACACACCTCATCGTTTCGTATGTGGCACTGTCACAGAAATTTTTTCGGGGACCAAAACTGTCCGGTGGGACAGGGAATCACTGCGATAATATCAAGAGTCTATAATAGACAGTCTTCTATTATGGACCGTTGATATTATCCGACCTCCGGACGGTGGTTCACGCTGAGACGTAATTACGAAGGCGTCATTGGTTTTTGATAGCCACCTTACCTTGGGAAAGTGTAGCCTATACCCGGACCAAAATTCTGCAGATATCGTTACCACTGAAGGTGGACTATTCAGAGAGATTGCCCGAAGTGGCACGCGGTACTCACTCTGTGTTCTCTCTCCCTCTCTCTGGGTTTTGCAAGTAGCCAGCGAAGGTCGGTGGGGGTGATTTAGTGACCTTCACGAAGCCTCTTCAGCGCAACATACTGCAAAGGTCCCCTGTCGGTTTGTGAATGCATGCATGGACCTCGTAATTGTAGCTACCTGCTCGAATCCGGTTCTACCACTGAGATGTTTGTAATTATTAATAGCTTATTATTAACCCGCTAATATACAGAGTATGTGCAGCTAATACACACATACAGCTCAGCGGGTGCTATGCCGTGTAGTGGCAGCACCTGTCATCAGCTGCACACCCTCACAGTCGGCGCGACGAGGGTTTTTTTCCCCAAGAAGAATCATGTAGGCGTGGAAGATCGTTGCACGTAAGATATTGTATATAGCGATGTAGATATAACTTGGTTCGAACAAAAACACTAATCATGCATCTATATGTTATTCACCCCATATTCCACCACTTGCTTTCAGCCGCTTTCGGCAACGCTTCTCTAGTATCCCGTCTCATCTGGATCTCCCCCCATATGCGAATAGGTTGTGTGCGTCTATCACATGACCGTCGCATTTCATGTAGCGTGTCGGACCTTGTATGTAGCCATTGCCGCCAAAGTGAACGCTTGTCTGAGTCAGTGAGGTTACGTATTTTTAGAATTCGCAAGATTCGGGAGAACGTAGAAAGTCCTGAGAAATAGGGCTATGATTACGCTTGCCCTTCGAATGTCCTTGGAAACTAAGCACGTGCTTATTCCGTGCACACAAGACTATTTGGCTTCTGGAATATTCTGGAAAAGCATTTTGCGTTAGGTGTACGAATCCTGATGTAAATTATTTTCAAGGGACATATGCCGTCCGATTTCAGTTCAAGATATAAAATAGCAGGGCCGTAGCCTGGGGGGGGGGGTAGCTGCCCCCCTAGATTTTGGAGCAAAATTTAAAAAATAAGCTTGGCTAATAATCGAAAATAACCCTAACGAGATTTTTTTGGTCACTCTTCCGTGAAAGCCTTGTCTCAGACCCAGCCCTACCACACTATGGACGTCGGTCAAGAGCTGCGCCCGTCCCTCATCATTACACAGTTGAGTCATAAAATTTTGCCCCCCCCCCCCTAGGAATTTTCCCAGCCTACGGCCCTGAAGGGTAAAGATGCATGATCGTCGTTTCTGTTGCGATTTCAAGGGCGTGTTGGAACGTGAAACGTCATGTCATCGCGATGGACGACACGAAACTGTGCTCAATGACACGTAACAGTGAAATATGGTGGAGTTTAACGTAGAAATCAATAATCAATAATGACGTACGTCACAATGATGAACGTGATCTGATCATCTAATGCTATCATTCATTCTATAGCTCCCTTTCTATCTATAATGGGTTGTAACCAGTGCGAAAGCGACTGAATCCTATGCTTTTCTTGATGATGAGTGTTCTGAGACTTCATAAAGGCAACACCACATGACGTGTGCACACTTACCGCCATAGAAATATATAGAGAGCCTATCTATATATTTATATATAGTGTCTATATATTTCTACGCTTGCCGCACTGATGCGACAGTGCTGCCAGTCTAAAACGAGCGTGCGTGTCGTGGTGACTGGCAGTGGTGGCATTGTTGTTCAAAAGGACTAAGTCTGGAATTTAAAGATGCTCTCTGGAACTTTTTGTTCATAACCCTGCTTACCTGATTGACGGGGTTTTCGCCGTACTTTCAGCTGACGTTGATATATTAGGCGGCGCTTTGCCTGCGCGCGCGGATCACCTCACCCCCTCACAGGCACTCGCAGTACTTGTGAATGCTCTGGCACTACAGCCCTTCCCGTGGCAGAGCGAAGGACTATAGTTCTAGAGCTACGCTTGTGAATGCTAGACTGAACATGCGTGAGAGCAGCTAAATGTCAGACCGAATTCCCTTAATCTTATATTACGCCTAGACTTGCTGTATACTTGGAGACCTATGTACAGGAAATCTAGCTGGGTTTCTTCTGTCGTGTGACTCTTATACTCCGAGTGGAGACTAGTCGATGCATCCAGTCATTGATTCTCAGAAATGTGTTGTTTCTGTGATGATGTGATTATGAAGCGATTTATTTCCCCTCAATATTCGCTCACCGGTTCGCAGCGCATGCAGTAGGGTATTAGTCGGTCATGTTATGAAACGCTCTTGTAGGAAACCCGGTGAAAAATAAACCGATTCCTATATGTGACAACGAATTCCGTCTTACTTGCTTATTATTACCATAGACTAAGAATATATTCTATACATATACATATAAGATGTTATTCTTATTCTATGTTATTATACTCATGCGCCATCGAACATTATCGATTTAACATTCATCAAGCGTTATCGATTAGAATGGCTGAATGACAGGTTTAAGCAGTTTGTTCGGGCGTAATAATTACAACCTAGCTACAACATACCATTACTGCAAGCCCGATTATCGATATTCCATAAGTATTCAACTTTCATCAAAGAATATCTTTATATAATATATATTTATATATTCATTATCATATCATATATTTCATGTATTTTATTTCGGTATTCAACTTTCATAAAAGAATAATTATTCTATTTTTAATACAAAGCGCTCATAATACTCTGTTAATACTTTTATTAAGTAGCTCACGCATAATTCCAGTATTGAAAGTTCACATGTCTGAATGATTCATAAAATCTATGTTGCGTTGACATGCGTTATATTAACGTTATATCACCAGGATGCTTTTGTATAATATATAATGTATACCTGACAATTTATGGCTTTACATGTAAAAAGGGTACATGTAAAAAGCCAATACATGTAAAAAGCCAATACATGGCTTTTTAGAAGTTAGAAGTTGTCTGATTCTGCCTGGTATGTATTGTGTCTACAACAAAAACCAACACCAACTAGGAATCGATCCATAACTTCTCGTATCAACCAAAATGTAAAGCGGAAAAACACAGGAATCGATCGTTTGCTAGTCATGTACGGCATATCAAAGGGGAAAGAGCAATTCAATGTAACATAATATCAGGAGTGAATAATAATAGATTATTGATCTAGATAGAGATAAATCTAGAATATAGATCTATTATTATTCACTCCTAATAATATCTCTCTCGTCTCATCGGTGACAGTTATAAAAAGAAAAAAATAGCATATCCAACGATCGATGTCACTATGCGGTTGGTGAACGCGAACAACGGTGACAACAGCTGCAGCAGCAGCACAATGACGATGATGACACGTACGCACACAAAGCGCGTCATCGATTATCGCGTGAACATCTGCCGCAGCAGACGACTGCGTAGTTTTTAAGTGACGCCACTCGTCGCTCGTACGTCTATCGGTTACGTAGAGGTTAGAGTCGGAGGAGGGGGAGGGAGGAAGCCATTCGACGTGGAACTGCCGTGCTGTGACAGGATGTTCTTGATTACGTACTGACGTCATGCTGCGTTAGCGCTTGATCATGACGTCATCATCCGCGTACGTGACTTCCGTCTGTTTGTTCATTTCGTCATGCATGCTGCGAATCTTCTGGATAAACGTTTCGAAGTGCAGATAAACATCTCTTTCACGATTAAACGTGTGAAACCAGCAAGGTAGCAGGGCGCGCGTGAAGTGGAAGACGCTAAAGGCGAGGAGAAGGAGCGGGAGAGGAATCGGAGGAGAAGACAGGTGGGGGAGGTTAAAGAGGCGGCCAGCTAGGGATCGTTAATGTATACGGAGAGAAGAAGCTGCACGTTCCTCATAAAATGGCAGATGCCAGGCCGCAATGGAATAAACGAGTGGTCAATGTCGATGACGACACAAAGTTGTACGACTGGGTACTAAAGCGTAGGGAGGCACAGAAGCTGGAAAAGAAAGAGACAGAGAAGAGAAGGAAGGAGGAGGAGGCATGGTCGCAAAAGATGAAAGAAATAGCCGCCGCATTTGAGGCGTCATCAGACGACGATGACGATGACGATGACGATGACGATGACGATGACGCTGACGATGACGATGACGATGACGATGACGATGACGATGACGATGGCGGCAATGACGACAATCGTGACGATGCTACTTCGCAGACACGCAGAGATCTTACGCCAGGACCAGAAAGTAGACACGATGCAGAACAGGAAGATAAATCAAAACCAGAGCCAGAGCTGAGGCCACATACTGAACCGGAACAGGAATTAAATCCTGAACCAACACCAGAACAAATTCAAGAACCGGAACCGGAATTAAATCCTGAACCAACACCAGAACAAATTCAAGAACCGGAACCGGAATTAAATCCAGAGCCGAAACAGGAATCGATTCCCACACCAGAAGCGGACCCACAACCGGAACCGGACCCACGACCGGAACCGGACAGTCCAATAAAAACTGCCGGGACAGGTGAAGTTATTATTCCTGACGATATCGACGGATATGCAGAGCCGGTGGCAGCGCGGAGTTTAGACGGCTTCTTCTGTTTAGACGACGAGACCAGGGCAACCATACAGCGCGATACCGATAAACTGTACAAGTGGGCAGTGAACTGCCGCAGTGACGACATGCACATGATCAAAGAACTACTCTTTCCCGACGAGAATTAGTATGCGGTACGTTTGCGTGATAGACTAGTACCACCATCTATCCATCTCTCTCTCTCTCTCTCTCTCTCTCTCTCTCTCATTTCTACTTTCTTCTCTCTCCCTCTCTCTCTGCTCTCTCCTCGTCTCTCTCTCTCTCTCACCTCTCTCTCTCTCTCTCTTTCGTTCTCTCTCTCTCTCTCTCTCCTCTCTCCTCTCTCTCCCTCTTCGTGCATCTCTCTCTCCCCTCTTTTATCTCTCTCTACTCTTCTCGTGTTTGGTCGGGCGTTAAGGGATCACTCACATCCCCTCTCTCTCTCCTCTCTCTCTCTCGTCATCTCTGCTCTCTCTCGTCTTTTCTCTCTCTCTCTCTCGGCTCTCTCATCTCCTCTCTCACTCTCTCGTCGCTTCTCTCTTTCTCTCTCGTCGCTCTCTCTCTTTCTCTGATCGTCCCTGCTCTCTCTGGTACCCTCATCTCCGAAACACACTTTCCGGCCTGGGTCGTTTACTTATCCTCTCTCTCTGTCTCTCTCTCTCATCGTCTCTTTCTCTCTCGTCTTCTTCTCCCTCTATCTCTCTCTTTCTCGCTCATCCGTTCTCTCTCTCTCCTCTCTCTCACTTTCGGGGCGGCTCACTTTTCGGCTGTCGTTTCCTCTCTCTCTCTCTCCTCACTTTCGCCGTCCTGTCTCATCTCGGTCGAGATCTCTCTCTCTCTCTGCTCATCTCTTCTCTGCTCTCTCTCTCTCTCGTCGTTCTCTCTGCTCTCATCGTCCTCACAGCACATGGGGCACGGGACACATTCAGAGCACAAGCTCAACAAGGGCGCCTTCGGGCGATGCTGGAGCCGACTTTCGCTGTCTTTTACTCTTGCTATCTCTTCGATCTTCTCCGTCTTCTCTCTCTCGCCAGGGTCTCTCTCTCTCATCTCTACTCTCTCTCTTTCTCGGGCTCTCTTTCTCTCTTCTCTCTTTCTCTCTCTCTCTCTCTCATACTTCGGCTGTCTTTCTCCTCTCTCTCTCTCACTTTCGGGCCGTCTAATTCTCTCTCTGCGCTCTCTCATTGTCTCCAGTCGTCTTCTCTCAACTCCTCTTCTCTCTCTCCTCTTCGTAGGTCTCTCTCTCTCCTAACTCTTCTCATCTTCTCTTCTCTCTCTCTTCTCTCTCTCTCTCTCTCTCCTCCTCCTCTAATCTGCTCTCTCCCGCTCTCATCCCCCCTCCTCCTCTCTTCTCTAACTCTTCCTCTCTCTCTCCCTCTCTCCCCCCTCCTCCTGCTCTCTCGTAACTCTTCCTCCTGCATCTCTCGGCCATCTCTCCCCGCTCCTCTTCTCCCTCCTCCTCTCTCTCTAACTCTTACCTCTCTATCCTCCCCCCTCTCTTCTCCCTCTACCTCCTCTCTCTCTGAACTCTTCCTCTCTCTGCTCTGCCTCCCCTCTCTCCACCCCTGCGACTCATGCTCTCTCTAACTCTTCCTCTCGTCTCTCTCTCCCCTCTCTCCCCCCTGCTCCTCTGCTCTCTAAGCTCTTTGCCTGCTCTCCTCTCCCCTCTCTCCGCCCTCGCTCCTCTCTCTCTCTAACTCTTACTTTTCTCTCTCCGACTCTCTGCCACCCTCCTCCTCTCTCTCTAACTCTTCCTCTCTCTCTCCCCTCTCTCCCCCCTCCTCCTCTCTCTCTAACTCTTCCTCTCTCTCTCCCCTCTCTCCCCGCCTCACTCCTCTCTCGCTAACTCTTCCTGCTCTCTCTCCCCTCTCTCCGCCGCTCCTGCCTCTCTCTTAAGACGTCTTACCTCTCTCTCTCACCTTTCTCTCCCCCTCCTCTCTCTTTAACTCTTCCTCTCCCTCTCTTGTCTCGCCGCGATCATCTGCATATTTTCTTCACGCTCAACGTATTTTCTCTTCGGTCCCTTTTTTTTATTCCTTCCCCTTTTTACCATCTTTACTACGATCCATTTTAGGAGAATATATTTGTTAAAGCTCGCCACGAAACCTCGCAATCCCTGCGTCTTTATATTTCAACCTTCAAATGCTCTTAATGGCGGCCGTTCATTTTCAGGGCGTGTGGCTTTACAGAGTCGTAGTCCGCGACGCTACAAAAAAAATCATATCCAGGTATTCTTTACGATGCGAATCCAGCGAATGGCGAACGAAGATGTGGGGTCGGTGTCAGGAGAGGTTCACTAGTCTGTGAATTGCGCTGCCATCGTAGGCCTACTAACATCGGCAGCAGTTAGAGCAGCGGTTCTTAACCTGGGGGTCGTAACCCACATGGGGGTCGTTTTTTCGGGGGTCATCAAGGGGTCATAAATGAAACGAATCCATAAAAATTCTATATAATTATCAGGGTACTACAAAATTTAATTCATAAATTTGGTTGCCCACAAGCCCAAAGCACTTGTCCGATTTTTGTTTATCACCGGATGGCTGCGAAGCAATTTCAGCCATCCCATTGACAGAGAGTATTGGCAGATGTTTCCATAAATCGGATTGTTTTTTTTTCAAGTTTTGTTTCGGGGGTTACGGTACTGACCAAGAATGTATGATGGGGCCGTGGGGCCTAAAAGGTTAAGAACCACTGAGTTAGAGGAACAGTAGTAGGCCCCTACTAGAGCTGACAGAGCTGCCAACCCTTCCGATGTCGGCGGCGATTTGTACGATTTTAGCCTATAATTCCGCCATTACGATTCACTCACATGTTCTACAATTTTGGACCATTATGCGTGGAAAAAATTTAATCTCGATGTAAAAACTGCCTGGAGAATTGTTACCATTCCTGCTATGGGAGTGGTCATTTTACAGAAAGTTGATATATATATATATATATATACAGTACTTCCAAGGAACGTAACACTCATTCAATTAGTCCAGCGGTAGAGACTCGACCTATCATGTTCAATGTTGTGTTGTATTATTTGTGTTCTCATAGCCTGTTTCATAGACTACGAATTATGTATGACTGTATCATAAATGTATTAAGTTAGTCTATGCTTGTATCTCTGTGTTTGTCGTTACATTACGATGAGTATGCATATGATTGTATTTTATTTGTAAATTGATGTAGAACTGTTATTGAATCATGTAGTATTGTGCTTAAATGACTCGTTACCCCGGATTCCTACTTGCTGAAGAAAGTTCCCACTTGTAAAGATTCAAATTCTTATTAGATAAAGGTCAATGGACTGCTTACGTAATGATGAGTAGCGAAAAGCTAATTATAGAATCTACATAGTTGCATATTTCTATCACACACACATAATACACAATTTCGTGTTTATGCGTATGATTATTGCATTCATGCCCAGAATAACTGTGACGACAGTGCTAAGAAGTGTGCGGCTTCTACGCTATTTAATAAAGCACATGGTAGTGACTGCTGTTAAGCTGTATGCTGTATGCACATGGTATAGAGACTGCTGATAAGCTGTATGCGTACTTGCTGCTCACGGTATAAATGCATAATATATACTTTGGATCGGTAATATTAGATTGGGGTAGGTTTCTCTCCCGCTTCTCTCTCTCTTCCTCTCCAACCCCGCCTATCACTTTTTTCTCTCTATTATATATTCTATATAGCACCCACGCTGGCGGTCCGTCTCCACGCAACACATGACACCGCGCATATACTATACTACTATAGCAAGTATGTACTCTCTTATGTACATGTTCTAAAAAATACGATTCTTTGAGGCAGATATTGGACATAATTATGCGAGCATCAACGGTAGCTTACAAAACGCAACAACAAAGCTATAAAACAAAGCTTAAATTATAGACATCAGATTATAACGCATCACTTTGGTGAATTCCATTTTGGTGGAAATGCTTTTTAAAGTAGAGAGTCGACATCAGAGAGTAGATTGGTGTGAAAGATGCCCACCCTAGCTAACATCACGCAGTTCAACACACAGTAGCGAGTAGATTGTTGAAGTGATACTTTCAGGTGCAGGGTGGAGACAAATGATCTGTCTCTCCACCCTCTGATGTCCGGGATTGATTCGTCTGGTGTGAAAGGTGTTGGCAGAAAGATGCGATATGATATGACTACTTTTTTTTTTTAGGGTTAGGGTTAGGTTTTTTTTAAGTGCCTAGTAGTCATATCCTAAGTGCCTAGTAGTCATATCATATCGCATCTATCTGCCGGGTGCGATTCGTCTCGGTACGCCATATTGGTTCGTTATAAGTAAGCCATTGTGACGGACATTATTCGATTAAATGACCGGGCACTGTCTCTTTCCCGTTCTAGATCTCTCCCGCCTCCACCTATTCGGAAGTAGGTTGAATTGATACTATATATATATATATATATATTATATATATATATATATATATATTATATATATATATATATATATATATATATATATATATATATATATAATTACAGTGATATTTTTGTAGCATAAACAGAACATACGCAAACCCAGGTACCCGCCAACACCACAACAAACAAATAGCACTAGGCTACAACGGGCCACAACAAACATTCCGCACTCCGGTTATTGCTGAACGCGGCGGCAGAACGCGGGCCATTCTACTAGCCGATGCGCCACAATGGCGACCAGTCATCGATCCGCGTCGCTAATCGATTGGCATCGATTCGTGGGCGCGATCGCGGTGACAGGCCGAGGTGTTTACGGCCAGGGAGTGACGTCACTGACGATTACTTAACGATGAATAACGTTAGCGACTTACGAGCTGTGAGGAATTGTGTCCGCTAACGACAGCTCGTTAGCGGCTGATCGCTCCACCGCCACGTCAGCAATGATTGAGTAATGGCCTGCTCGTTAGCAGTCGTGGATGGTTGCGTTCATGCCAGGGTGAGAACGAACGTTACCCCCCCCTGCCATTCCCAGCGCAGCGACACCCATGTGCTCCCGCCCCTTTCTCCCTCGTCTTCGCGCTCGCTCCTGTCCCCCCCCCCGAGCAGGCCGTGGGAGAGTCGGCGTGGGAAGCGACACTCTCCCAGCCATCGACGTCCCGCTCAGCGAAGCTGTGAAGTGAGAGTCATGATCGACGAAGGAAGGCGGTTGAGAGGTGTGTAGCCGCAGCAATATTCATCACGTGCGTGCGTGCATATAAGCTCCGTGCGCGCATACGGTGGCCTGTCAGTAGAAGCTCGCGGACACACGCACGCGCACGCACGCACGCACGCACGGTCATATACGGCGACCGCTACTTCGTTGATCTTCCGCTACGTAAGTTTTTCCCGCGTCTAGGTTTGTTACCCGCTTGTTTACCATATATAATATAGACGAAATTCGTTGACGCAGTGCGGTGCTATGTAGTGCCTTGGTTCCTTTATATGAAGTAATACGATACGAACATATAGAGTCTCATCAACTATAACATAGAAGGATTCTAGATACGACTGTATAGAGTCTTATCCTCTATAGCACAGAGGAAGTCGAGGTACGGCTATATAGAATATAGAATCACCCCCTCTATAACATAGAGGAAAGCTAGATACGGCTATATAGAATCTCTCTCTCTCTCTCTCTCTCTCTCTAAGCTTCGGGTATAAGCTCACTAGCTTCTACAATATCTTACAACTGTCTACGTCATGTTGTGCCTTTATGTCACAAACAGGTACGTGACTTTACACTTATCTAAGACTAAAATTAAATACATGTGTGTATATTTATATATTATAAACACATTTAATTTTTTTTTGGCAAAAACGAAATACCAACTAACCATCAGATGTTGATTTTATAGCGTAATTGCATTAAACTGTGGTATTTATGATGTTAATAACCATTAATCAATCAACACGCTTCTATTTCACCCCATTTAAAGAACATTACAACGCGTCTATATTTCTACCTCGCTAATACCGGCTGCCATAAAATATTCATCGTCGAATGAACACGCAAATGATGAATTACTGGGGAACCGCCTATTTCTGTCATTTTTAGTAATAAGCCATATCGGAAAGTCCCCGCCGCCATATTGAGATCAGATAAGAGGGGGTATAAGTTGCCTATATATAACATGGTTACGATAATACTAATCTATGTTTTTGATCTATAATTCTCTTCACTAACATCGCACTTCAATTCACAGGTGCGTTTCTGTTTACAGAAACGTTTACGAATATGATTGTGGTCATTTGGGATATTTTGCAACGTTTGTGTTCATGCAAAAACTAAAAACGCACAAGTGTTTACGTTAATCATGTACTTTCCTAAGCGTGCCTCGGCCATTTTATACCCCCCTTTTCTATGACCTAAATAACACAGCTGGACTTTCCAATATCACTTATAGCAGTGTCTTATACAGCCACTTACCCCCCGAGCTAGCCTAATTACCATCATAATTTGAGCAAACCTAGCCACAATCGAGAAACACTGCAACTCCGACGTCAACTATACAGCAAATATTATTTAACGCTAAAAATATTCAAAAAATGCTTAAAAACATATATATTTCGTTACAAAGGAGCTGGTCAGAAAAACTGAAAGAGTAGCAATTTTGTCAAACATAATATAAATGTAATTTATGTTTTTACTAACCCTAGGAATAAGTATGATAATGAATAGTAAAAAGTTATTAAATCTGACTAAAAATTTTCTTACAATTTTAGGACAATCCTGTACTGAATTGTAATGTAGCAAATCTAGTTATATGTAAATCATCTAATGTTAAAGATAAGTTAGGGTAAAGATAATATGATATAACATCTTTTAATTTAAGTGCCACGGAAAACATGTAACAAAACGTAAATAACACATAAACAACACATAAGCAACACGTAAACATCAGTTGAGATCCGATTGATTCGATCACAGGTGGCTTAGATAATAGTTACATAGTGTACGTGTTACCTAACAGGCCTATTCTTTCATGTACTCCCACACGCACATGTATGGTTAACCGGGTATTATTGAAGATTTATATAATATAGCGGATATCACATAACTATGAATATTTTCACCGAGACTCGAGTATAGGTGTGAACAATTAAGAATTACAGACAAAATCGTTTTTCGATATTCGATTATATATTCGAATTTTGGCGATACTCGCTGTTTGATGCTTAAGGCTAAATATGGGTACACGCCATTTGCACCGGGAGGCGAAATTTCAGCTAACTTCGAGAACCAATAACATTTTGGCAGGCGCGCATGCGCACTCGAAAATATCTTTAACTCGAAAAATCTGACGAATCGTGAAAATGCTATGCTGAGTCATACACGGCCTGTCCCTAAAAATGCTGATGGCCCTACATCGGTGTACGAATGTCATACATTAACAGGACACACGGCGTTGCCAGGGGAAATAAAGCGCTCATTTGGCGAGCGTTTGGTTGAAAGAAAAATACCCAAAAATCGATCTATCTATCAATCTATCTATCTATCTATCTATCTATCAATCAAAAAGGGGGGCGTCGGCTGCGGCGATGTTGAATGAGGAGTAGCGAAGCGAGTCGTGCGCGGGTGTGAGCTGCCCTGTGTGCGTGCGTGTGTGTGTGTGTGTGTGTGTGTGTGTGTGTGTGTGTGTGTGTGTGGTGTGCTGTGTATGTGTGTGTGTGTGTGTCGTTCGTCGTCGTGCTGCGTGCGTGCTTGTATGCGGTGGCGGCTCGGCGGGTATATTGATTTATGAACGTTCTGTGAAGTTGATTAAATTGTGAATCTAGCTGTTTGGCTGACGAAGTCGCATTTTAATATCAAATAAACAGTAATTCCAGAATTTTTTGTGTACAGTTTTGTTTAATAATAAACATGCAGTATAAGCATTTATCTAGGGTATTTCTAGATCTATGATAACTGATTGATATATAGTTAACAAAACATACACGTATTATATTAATATCTACGGAGCGGGAAACTATCATGGAAGATGGTACGTGTATAAGGAGAAATATCTACTATTATATTAGACACCATAAAACAGCTAAATACTCGTTTCTGCTTTTGGCCCTGGAAATGTCTGTCGAAATATACTTACACAAGCTGTAACGCAGAGAAAAACAAAGATGTCAACAAAAACCGAAATCATTACCGAAACTTTGCTCATCTCTCAAGTCTCAACTCAACAAAAATCTTCATATTAAATTAAAGTAATTATGGTACACGCATACCTGTTTTCGTTTTTGTTAAATTCTGCTCACTGTTAGATCATTGTTTAGTCGTTGCGTAAAAGTCTAAATAGCTCGTTTCTATTCCAGTCTATATTCAATATCAAACAGATCAAACAGTGCATTACTACTAAAGCACGAAGGGTCGTTGTCGTAACAGGTACTACAGATATGTACCCGAGGTAGTTTTAGGTTGCTTTTATATTATGTTATATTTTTTATATGAGGTATGTTTAGGTTAGGGTTAGGGTTAGAATTAGGGGTTAGCGGTTAGTGTTAGGATTAGGTACACCTCTGTAGTACAAGTCTGGTACACTTTGTTTATACATATATGTACCTCGGGTACATATCTGTAGTACCTGTTACGACAACAACCCCTTGAGCACTACTAAAGGGTGCGCCTATATACGCCATTTCTTCTCAATGATGTTGGCATATTAATGTAACAGATTTAGGTGCAATATTAAATGACGATAAATCTCGCCACAACTATAGCGCGCTACTAGACGAAGAAAATCCGCACTATGTTGAATCAGTGTGGAAAATAACCTCGTTTGCTCGGAGAAACGACGCGAGTTTGCGCAAAACGATAATCCGCGCTAGCATACTCTTACCCCGCACAGATGGCCAAAATTTGATCCTACATCAAACATGTATGATCCTACATCATGGCCTGGCCATGCGCCGCGCTAAATCACAGCGTACAGAGTCAGACGCAGAGAAACGGACAGACGAGATTGTGTCTGAAATTTTGTTTTTGATCTTCATTCACTCGAGTCTTTATTACAACTTGGCCAGAAGAATCTATCCAGAATGTGTGGGAAAGCAGACATAGGAATGTGCATGTTTACACTTCCATTGCTAATAAAATGGCTCAATTGAATTATAATCGGATACACAGATTCGATTATACGCCGGTTGCAGCTTCTGCTGCCTATTCAATTACCTGGTAAATATCTTCTTCTTCTGCTATACAGTAATGCAGTATAAATCCTAATAGTTCTATCAGGGGTACCGTTGTTTAACCGTCAAGCAAGTCTGTTGAGTGACGTAACAAGCTAAACTGAGCATGCGCAGTCAAGCCGTGCTAACTTAGCCCTGTTGAATCCGGTTGTGTCTGTACGCTGCGATTTATCGCGCGCCTGGCCCGGGTCTGGCCCGGACTAGTTTGAGATAGGATCAAATGTTGCAGTCTGTACGGGGTATGTATTTGTTCTAGAGATAGATAGATAGATAGATAGATAGATAGATAGATAGATAGATAGATAGATAGATAGATAGATAGATAGATAGATAGATAGATAGATAGATAGATAGATAGATAGATAGATAAATAAATAGATAGAAAGATGGATAGATAGATAGATAGAAAGAAAAATAGATAGATAGATATATAGATTGAATCATTGGATGTGCTGGCTTCGCAGGCAGTGACAGTGTGGGGGACAGCGGCGGCACCTAGCATCAAGCTGCGCCTATATGAGGGCACCAGCATCTCAAACAAGGCCAAGCAGGCGACCTACGTTGACCTTGGTCAGGACCTCCTCCTCGTCGCCAGCCTTGATGACGTCGGTAAGTGTCACGTGCTCATGACGTCACCACCAGTTGTCTACTTTCAAATTTCGCCACGAGTTTGCTGCATATAGCGTGAATAGCGTCTCTACTTTATTTATACACAAACACAGCGTATATGTAACCACCGAGTTCTGGGTGCTCGGGTAGGCTCCTAAATTTCAATTAGAACACCACGTGGTAAATCGTAGCTGTGCACGTGCACGCTTGTCAGGGCTAATAGCGCGCCTATGGCTCCCTCTGCAGGACTGTACACGAACTTCATCCTCTACAATTGCGTGGCGTTTGCGCCTGACAGTCAGTACAGCATGGTCCTCATCGACAGCCACGAGTAAGCAATGATGACCTTTAACCTCTAGCGACGATATATATCGTTGTGCTGTTACCACCGTACTGTACCGTACCGTAGGATAATGATGTACGTGCGATGTATTGGTCACTATGTATCACGCGCCATGTATGTACACTGTATGTTTTACGATGATGCACTAAATGTTTCACTATATTACAATGTATTCACTATTATTACACTGTATGTTTCACGTGAGACGCACTCTAGATTACTCCATGTTTGACACAATATGTGCTACGTTGCATCCTTAAGACGCACTAACTCACAGGTTTTGAATACTTATATGTACGTTTGTTGTTTTAAGCACGCTATTTGTTGAGTGCCACTAACCACCGTTTTCGTATCACGCAATGTATCACAGTAGAATAACCTAGCCTCTTTTAAAGCAACATGAACATCACCCGAGAGACGAGCCACTCCCCCTGCGATGACGGAGAAGATTGGGAGAACGAGTTGCAGGCGGCGCTGAGCCAGGTCAGCACGCGGAGCAACAACGCGGGGCGCCGTCCCCACGAGCAGGCAACGGCGCGGGACGTGCAGGAAGAACCGCCCCACAAGCGGTACTGCGAGCCGACCGCCGCCGCCACGCCGCCGCCGCCGACCGCCGACGACGGTTGCGCGACACAGTCGACCCGCAACGCCCCCGCCACGCTGTGCACGCAGTGTACACTGTGCCCGTGTCGACGCCGCGTTCAGGCCACGCCGCCCGTCGCCACGGTCAGGCCGTGCGTCACGGCCGCGCCGGTGACCACCGCTACCACCGCTGCCGGAGCTGTCGCTACCGCCGCCGCCGCCACCGCCGCCGTAGCCGTGCGCGTGCAACAGACGACGCAGACAATTTACAGCCGGCCCAACTGCAGGCCCGCGCATGCCACGCCAAGCCTCACCTTCGGCGCGTCGGGTGAGCAGGTCGCCTACAATTCGTGGGATCACTACCGCGACGATGTAATGAAGTTCTGGCACCTCAACCCGGGCTTCACGGTGGTGCACATGCAAAATGACCATTTAGCGTTGAAGGTCGTCCCCGTGGAAGCCGCGCCACGTGCAGGTCTGTCCTGGGAAAACCAGCATCGGCCGGCGCACCTGGTGGAGGACGAAGCCTGGATGGTCAGCGACGACGAGGACGCCGAAGAAGAAGAGGAGCGACGCTTCTACAGCGGGTACCGCTGAGGACCCCACGATGACGGCGAGGACCCCACGACGACGGCGAGGACCCCACGATGACGGCGAGGACCCCACGATGACGGCGAGGACCCCACGACGACGGCGAGGACCCCACGATGACGGCGAGGACCCCACGATGACGGCGAGGACCCACGACGACGACCGCGACGACGACGGCTGCAACGCCAAACTAGTTAATTTTTGTTGTTCTTGTTTTGTATTGTGTAAAAAACGAAAGGAAGAAAAGATCGATAAACGTAAAATAAAATAAAATAAAATAAAATAAAATAAAATAAAACAAAATAAAGAACTGTGTGCTTAGTTAAGTTAGTTCGTTTGTTAAGAGGGTGATGGGTGCACTGGAAAAAAAAATCAAATATAAAATAACAGAACGAAAAATTCAAAGAAAAATAATAATAAAAATGAATATAAAAGACGTACAGCGTACGTGTACATTACAGTACAGCGTACATTTCGGCTTAACAACGTTGTTCGCCGCATAGCTGCGGCTTCCAACTTTTTCCTATGGGGGGGGGGGATAATGTAATACCGTCGAAAGACGGTTAAGTAAATATCTAGGAGTAACCTTTTGCCCGTCCGTCCGTCCGTCCGTCTGTCCATCCTCATGCAAAGTCGGTCGGCTGCGGCGATGTTGAATGAGGAGTAGCGAAGCGAGTCGTGCGCGTGTGTGAGTGCCTGTGTGCGTGTGTGTGTGTGTGTGTGTGTGTGTGTGTGTGTGTGTGTGTGTGTGTGTGTGTGTGTGTGTGTGTGTGTGTGTGTGTGTGTGTGTGTGTGTGTGTGTGGTCGGTGTGTGTGTGTGTGTGTGTGTGTGTGTGTGTGTGCCACACAACACCACACACACAATACACACACCACACGAACACAACACACACAGCAATACACACACGCACACAAACACACAACAACCACACACACAACACACACACAACACCCAACACATAACACGGCACACAACCAAACACAACACAAACACGCACACACACACAACACACACTGACAGCAAGCACACAACACACACACACCACAGCACACACACACACACACACGACACACAACACACACACAACGTACACGAGCACAGAGTAGCACGCACCGCACGCGCGCACACACACACGCAGCACAGCGGCGCGTGCACACGCACTTCGACGCGAACACACGCACACACACACACAACACACACACACACATCACACACCACACACACACAAGCACATGAGCGTATTGTGGTATGGCCTAGGTGTGAAGTCGCCATGTTTTCCAGCAGCCGAATTCACACTTACCAGGCTTCCCCTGACACGGTCCAGCCGCAGAGGGACACAACCGTGTAGCTAGCAGCAACGGCAGTTCGCAGGCAACGGCTTGAACGGTAGCAAACATCGGTGTGTGCAGGAGATGATAATTATGCAAGAAAGAGAGCGGTAGCAATTGGGAGAGCAGGCCGAAAGAGTTAGGAGAGAACCAGTGACAGAGAGAGGGAGCAGAGGGAGAGAGAGAGAAGACTGAAGAGAGAGAGAGAGAGAGAGAGAAAGAGCCAGCGAGAGAGAGAAGAGAGAGAGAAGGACGAGAATAGATAGATGGAACTATAGAAGATAGATAGATAGATAACATAGATAGATAGAATGGATATGATAGATTAGATAGATAGATAGATAGATAGATGATAGATAGATTAGATAGATAGATAGATAGATAGATAGATAGATAGATAGATAGATAGTAGATAGATGGATGGATGGATGGATGGATGGATGGATGAATGGATGGATGGATGGATAGATGGATGGATGGATGGATGGATGGATGGATGGTGATCGATGCGTAATGGGATGGATGGAGGATGGATGGATGGATGGATGGATGATGAATGGATGGATGGATGGATGGATGGGAATGGCATGGATGAGATGGGATGTATGGATGGATGAAATGGATGGATGGATGGATTGGATGGATGGATGGATTCGATTGGATGGATTGGCATAGATGGATTGGATGGCATGGATGGATAGGATGCGAGCGATGGAATGGCATGGATGGATGGCATGGATGGATGATAGGATGGATGGATGGATGTGATGGATGGATGGATGGATGGATGGATGCGATTGCGAATGAGATAGGATGAGATTGGCATGGATGGGAATGAGATGGATGGATGGATGGATGGATGGATGGATGGATGGATGGATAGGATGGATGGATGGATGGACATGGCATGGATGGATGGAGGATGGATGGATGGATGTGGATTGGATGGATGGATGGATGCGATGGATGATGGATGGGCATGCGGATGGATGGATTGGCATGGATGGATGCGATGGATGGATGGATGGATGGATGCGATGGATTAGAATGATGCATGGATGGATGGCATGGGATGATGGCATGGGATGATGGAGTGGAGTGGATTGGATTGGATGGATGGATGGAGGATGGATGGATGCGATGATGATGGATGGATGGATGGAATGGATGGATGGATGGATGGATGGATGCGATGGATGGATGGTGGTATGGATGGATGGATGGATGGATGGATGGATGGATGGATGGATGGTGGATGGTATGGATGGTATGGATGGATGGATGGATGGATGGATGGATGGATGGATGGATGGATGGATGGAATGGATGGATGGATGGATGGATTGGATGCGATGGATGCTGGATGGATGGATGGATGCGATGGATGGATGGATGGATGGATGGATGGGGATGGATGGAGGAATGGATGGATGGATGCGATGGATGGATGGATGGATGGATGAATGGATGGATGGATGGATGGAGGATGGATGGGCATGGCATGGATTGGATCGGATGGATAGGTATGGATGGATCGATGGATGGCGCATGGATGGATGGATGAATGGATGGATGATGCGGATGGATTGGACTGGATGGATGGATGGATGGATGGCATGGATGGATGGTGGATGGATGGATGGATGATTGGATGCGATGATGGATAGATGGATGGATGGATGGATGGGATGGATGGATGGATGGATGATGGATGGATGGATGGTGGATGGATGAGATGGATGGATGCGTCATGGATGCTGGATGCCGATGGATGGAGGGGATGAATGGATGGATGGATGGATGGATGGATGGATTGACAGACAGAAAGATAGACAGACAGACGAGACAGCAACAGATAGATAGATAGATAGATAGATAGATAGATAGATAGCCATATGGATGTGATAGATAGACTAGATAGATAGATAGAGAGATAGATAGATAGATAGA